TATTTATTTAATAATATAATAAGTAGATAGAGATTAGAATGTAGATAAATATATTTAACCTCAATTTTTATGTTTATTAAATTTTTCAACGTTAATGTTTAATGATTGGTAATATATCGGGTCAGTGATATATAAAGTGGTTTGGTCGGGGCTGATAGGAAGTTTGCGATTCGCAGTGCGAGTGGTTGACCGCAAGGGGAAAGCAATGGTTTTATGAATGAAAGGACGTTATAGTGAGGCAATGGGCTGATGTGGGTGAGAAACTTGGAACGATCATGAGCCTGGTGACGTTTCTTCTGTTTCAGAATGATCCATATTGAGTGACTTTGCATAATAGGGGTGTCATATTTCAGCCGCGTCACCGAGTCGGGTACGAAGTCGAATCCCGGAACTGACCCGGGTTTTCAATCGGGTGACCTATCTACCGACCCGGGTGGTAAACAGAGTATCGAATTACTCACCCCGGACCCAGACCAGCGAGCGGGTTTGCGGGTTTACCCGACCCGACACAGGATAGGAGTTAAGCGAGGACGGGTCGCGGTCTCTGGTGAGCAGACAACCGACGGCAGACGCGGACGAAGGGATGGCTGGGAGCGCTGGCACGGTGCAAACGGGCCCGCGGGGGCTGCGAGACTGGGTGCGCGATCCGATTGCTGCACTGCACGCGCGGCTGATCGGCAAAAACTACGCGCACGGCAGGTGCGCGGGCAGTCCGCGCAAGGTTATTCTAGATGCCGGCATAGATATGATAGAGTGGCAATGACGATTGAAGCTAAGGAAAATACAAGCGGAAGGAGTGCGCCATTCAGGTAGTTTTAGATTACAGGAAGGAGCAGGCGTTATTGATGCGAGACATACGAAAACCCTTTAGAGGGAGGAGCGAGTGCACAGCGCTAGGCTAGCTTGATGCCGGAACCAACATGAAACTACTTGAGAATATATGACTTGAATAAACGAGAGGACTTTTGAAAAAAGTCTCACAAAATCAATTCCCTACTGCTGAGCAACTTGAAAAGATTTAAGAAATTTACACGGATGAGCTCAAGGCGACACAAAATCATATAAAAACGCGAATTTTACACCAAATTGACTCGGCAACCAACACTAGGAGATTTCAGAAGGAGCGACGACTTCATTATACACACAGCATCACTATACTATTTTTTAACATGGGTTGATTTCTGCGAAACGCCTCGTCGGGATAATAGGAACCCCTCCCTAACTTGAAGATTTTAGCAACTCCATAAATTAATACGGCTAAATTCATCGCAAATCCCTTAGAAGACATATATATGAAAAAAGCATGCGTGAATCAAATTTGTTTCGAATAAAGGTAGTCGGTATAAAAATGTAACATTGTGGATTTTGACCCTCAGAGAAATTTTTCGGAGATACGACGAATTTCAATGTTGTGTCAATATTGAAAGCCATAACTTTCAAATCAACAATATTAGACAATTTTCAAATCGAGTCTATAAAAAATTTTGAATTTGCATATTTCAAAATGAAGAAATGACAAAATTTAGAACTCCAACTTTTTAAAACTTTCATTCATAATACTTGCACCAAACTATTCCAATTTAAGTAATTTATAAAGCGCTAAATAACATAAACTTTTGATTGTTCAATACAACACATAGTAGTTTTCCAATTAAGTTCAAAATTTAAATTTTAAAAATAATTTTAAGTCAAGCATATAACTATTTTTCAGACTGTGCATGACAGGGCGTTGGGACTTATTTTTGAATGGGACGACCGAATATCGACTCATTTAGGAATTATAGATTATTTCACGAGTATTTGAGTGATTTATGATGTTCACAGATTCAAAGTTCTTGGACCTAGTTGGATTTATCGTCGCGTCAGAGCCATATGAATAGCTGTATAGTGCTATAGAGAGCAATTAAGTTTCGGGAAACCGTACTTGATTTTATTCCAATTTATAGTATGAACGCTCCAAATCGCTCTGAATGAGGGTTTGTTTGGAAATCATGTTTGGGCTCAGAATTGAAGATCGCCAATTTATTGTGAGTTCATTGGGTTTATTTTCATAGACTTGCTATTTCAACTATTAAATTTGCTAAATTTAGGAGTTAGACATTGGTCCAACTTTGAATTTTGAAAGTTTTCAACCTTATTTTTCCTCGAGATTTGTGTTCTTCTCAAGAAATCAGATATATTTTGATATAATAATTGTTACATAATTATTATTATTCTATCAAAAATAAAATACATTTACAAAAGCAATCAAATTTTATATGTTATATTTAACTATAATAAATGCTTTATATAAAATATTAATATAATATTGATGGGTTATATAATATATAATATTAATATATATATATAATAAGTATATTAATAATATATATATATAATATATATATATATATATATATATATATATATATATATATATATATATATATATATATAGAAAGAATGTAAAAATATAAATATGAAAATCCCCTTTTTTTAATATGCCAAATTTTACAATTTTTATATAAACTAATATAATTCTCTCAATTTGAGAACATAAATAATTTGGGTTTTTTTTAATTACTGTATTTTTTTTTCAAAAAAGTAATTAAAGTATTAAATTATTAATCTAACTTCTCATATTAAACCCTGAGTAAATTACAAGAAAGGACCCAATTGTGGAGTGAATTAGAAGCTTTGACATCGAACATCCCCGCTAGTGGGGTAGTGGGGGGCCTGGGGGCCACGTCCTTTCAGGCTAGTGCGCGTGCAATTACAAAAATATTATTAGTTTTATTTAAATAAATCACATTTTTTATTTTATTTTTTTTTAATTATCAAAATATGAGGTTGTCTAAACTTAGGTTAAATTGAGTTGATTTTAAAATTAATTGTTTTTTCAATAATTTTGTATGAATTATATATACTTATAAACATTGATTATGATATCTTGCTTCATAATCATGAAGAAAATAACTAACACTGAACTCATCCCCCAATCAAGTAATTGGTGTACTGATAAATGATGAATTCAACACACCTGCTTAGTCTATGCACCATTTTTTTTCTTACCTTGGTTGACGAGTACCACTCGCTGCATGTTGCCGTTGTCGCCTCTGCCACATACAAACCACCAGTCTATCTTGGTTGACGACAATCATAATATGCATATTGCCGCTACAGTACTACCGTATGCCAACCACCAGCCTATGTTGGTTAATGACTACCACCCGCCGCCGCCTCTGCCACATGCCAACCACCAGTCTATCTTGGTTCACGACAATCACCATTTGCATGTTGCTGCTACGACGCTATCGCATGGCAACCACCGAACTATCATGGCTGACAACTACCACCTGCTGCATGCTGCTACCGCCTCTGCCTTAAGCCAACCACCAGTCACCATCATCATTGAATTTTATATTGCATTAATTTTATAATGTTATATTTTACAGTCATTTGAAAATTTTTCAAATTTTACTCTATATTATTTTTCATCTAATCATAACCTAAAATATATTTAAAGGAAATTATATTTTACAATCATATATTTTGATTTTTAAGGTCATAATTTCATTGTTTACATATATCTGGGTGTTTTTCCCAAAAAAAAAAACATATATCTGAGTGTGAATAACATTATTTTTTAAAAAATATAATTTCAAGATCCACAACCAAACAAAGGAGCCCTGCGTTTCAATTGTCTTTGTGGGGCCCATAATTTTAGATGGTGGACCTATCAGTTGGTGTGGGCCATCTAAGTCCGGCTCGAGTTTCTCGGACCACGGCGGCATTAAATTTTCTTTACGAAGAAAAATCGCAAGTTCATTTAAGTGGTTAGTTGTGGAATTAGGTCTAGAATTTAAAGATGGAAAATTGACTATATATATATATATATATTTAGTGCTTGTTTTCATAAACAAGCACTATTTATTAAATAATATGGAATCACATGTTCCATTTGAATTAAATGTATAATTTTATATAAAATACAGCCTTAGTTGACCCAACTTCAGCTAAAAATTAGATAATTTTTTTTTTTTTTTTCATAAAAGTGACCCAAATTAAAATATAAACAGTCCCAATGGCCAACGCTGTCCACCAATAAATAAATAATAGAGATTAGATATATTTTTTAATATAGTAAAAAAGAAAAGATATACAAGTGAAATAAAAGCTGGCTATTAATAATGAAATGGTAATATTGCATGGATCAATTTTTTTTTAAGCTATACTAATGGGAGTTTAATAATAGATGTGGAAAAAATTGAAAGAGATAATTACTTATCATTTGAATTAGTGGAATTTAGAGTTTGATTGAGACGAATGCAATAATTTATTAAGATGATTGTGAAATTGTTATGAAAAAAAATAATTTCACTATCATGATTAAAGTAAGTAGCTTGTCATCGCTGAAATTTCTAAAATATAACAAGAAATAAGTAAGAAAATAATAGCCAAATGAAATTATGATTGTTGTCTGAAAAACAAAGCAGTCAAAAAACTCTCCCAAACATACCCTTAATTATGTATATTTATTTTATACATAATATCCAAAAACTTTGTTTTTCATTTTTTAAAGGAAATTGCTTATAATTATATTGAAGTTGAGGTAGACATATAAATGATCAAATTTCATTATAATTTAAAAAAAAAATCATTATAATTCAAAAGTGTATTTTAGAATCACTTTTTATTGTCTCGTTTATTTTTTTAAACATGTTATAAAGTATGTTTGATATATTAGATTTAATTAGTTTTTAAGACTTTGTTTGGGACGGCTTTCTTGCTCCTTCTTAAAGTAGCTTTCTAATACAAAAATTAAAAATTTTATAATAAAAAATTACTTTAAGAAGCAATAAGAAAGCCGTCCCAACCAAAGCCTAAGTTGATTAATACAATGGTAGTGATAATGGTCAATAATATCAGTGGTGAAAGAGGCATATTATGGTCGACAATGATGGCGATAGTGACAAAGGTTGATGGTGATCTAAAAATTATAGTAATCAAAGCTTATTGACAAATAAGCACTAAAGCCTACAGTTCTCTGAAATCTAAATCTGCAAATTATCAATCTCAAACACAATGCTGTGTAAGCTGCAGCTCCCTATTTCCATTCTCTTCAGCTTCTTCATTCTCCTCGGAGTCCTTAAGATGGTCAAAAAATGAATTGAGATACCTACAGTTCTTTGAAATCTAAGGCTTCGTTTGAGGCGGCTCTCTTACTGTTTTTTAAAACAGTTTTTTAGTATAGAACTTTTAATTTTTGAACTAAAAATTTACTTTAAAAAACAGTAAGAAAACCGTCCCAAACGAAGCCTAAATATACAAATTATCAATCTGAAGCACAATGCTCTGTAAGCTGCAGCTCCCTATTTCCATCATCTTCAGCTTCTTCATTCTCCTGGGAGTCCTCAAGATGATCAAAAAAGGAATTGAGATACCAAGGGAAATCCTCATTCCAGTTTCCTCTATTGGCTGTAGCCCTCCATTGCTGGTCAATTACCATTTCTGGTGAGAGTCCCCAGCTCTGGAGCTCCTCCTTGGTGTGGTAGATGGCTAGGCTGTAGTCGCCGCCGGGACCGAGTTGCATCACTCGGAACTCGCAGTTGCCGAAATTGTTTAGCCTCTCAAATTGATCTACAGTCCACTTGAACCATTTCATTAGAAAGACTCTGGAGGTCAGGCCATGGGAGATGATCACTAGGTTTGTCTCTGTGTCTTCACCTTGGTCCAGTCTTCTCATATCTATATCTCTCCATAGGGATTCCATAAAACCTGTAACAATAAATTGTTTGCTTACAGCTAAACTAGAATATATATAGCATTCAAAAAATTAAATCTATTTACAAATGAATTTCATTTTTTAAAATTTTTGTTCCATTGTGATATGAAATGACACGCTTTTGTGAAAGAAAAGGAAATAGTTTGGATCTCCGTCTTTTCACAATATCATGTACAGGATGTTGATTGAGTCATGATTGTTTTAAGCTCAAAGTGAAATGAATGTTGTGTCCATATATATATATATATATATAAATATAGAGAGAGAGAGAGAGAGAGAGATCTCCCTCTTTCTTGACATTTGTGGCCGCCATTAGATCATTTATGAGACTCTAATAGCTTAACGGAACATTATAAAGATTTTTTTTCAGACTCCACAAAGTTTCATAATGAAAGATAACGACTTGTAAAAAAAGGGTCATTTGAGATTTAAGAATATTCAAAACTAGATTAGCCAAATTAAATTGATTTGGAATGAACTTTTAACCTATTGCATGCCTAAATATACCCAATCCTTGTAACACCTATCAACTATTAAAAATTATCATAACTCCATTTTACAAAATTCACTGTCCAAAATTTATTCCACTGCAATTCTCGAGAAGAGCTTCAATTTCAAGGGTCAAAACATGTTCAATATTCTCCATTCTACACATTATAAAATAGACATAATGTAAGATATTTGGTTCTCCAATTTGTTATTTAGCTCTTTGTCCTTGTAATCATGTAAAGGTTCTTTAAGAGAAGCCTTGTGGAAGAGGCTAAGAGCGGTGAACTTGCCAAGAATTAAGGTTTTGAAGGAAAAGTTTGTAATAGTTTCTCCACCGGGTTTTTAGTGAAGGAATGTTTTATATTTGTGAATGAATCCTAACAGAAATTGTGCATAGACATACGTGTATGCTCATTTGGGTAGAATCATGTAAAAATTATTATGTTGTTGTCTTTAACGCATCAAATCTATTCCACTATTTGTTCAAGTCTACTTTAAAAATCCTCAATCTATATTCATTCTAGTTAAGTGTTTAAGGAAATTGTCTATGTTACACAATTGTCACTCATGTTATCTTGTATCTTGGAAGAAAAACTAACAAGAAATTTAATGTTAGAGCTCTACCAAATAATCATAAAATTGTAAACCAGGAAGGGGAGCGAATCTTACTGGAAACACGGTCGAAGACATCTGCAGCTGACTCGCCCTCAGGAAAACGGAAGAAGAACCTTCCAAAACGCTGCCTTGTCTCCTTAACAACCTTCATCCTATCCTCCACCTGAAAGTTTCCAAAGTCCTGCTCTCGTACCCTGCACTCCTCCCTTGCTCCGATGATCCTCTTCTTTGGGAAGGCTCTTCCAATCTCCATTAGTGTTGCCCTCGTCCGCACGTAAGGAGAAACGTAGAAATGCACCTTCCAGTTGGTGGCCATGCCACCATCAGAGACCACGCCAAAGATTCCCTCGCCGGCGGCCCGTGCCTGCTCGATGCCAAGCGGCGTCAGTGGGATCTTGTAGTCCGGCGTGGTGGTGTAGGCTGACATGTCGAGGTTACCCTGGCTCTCCCCATGACGCACTAGAACTATCCTCTTTGGTAGCCTTCTGACAGGCCGGCAACAGCTACAACTGCTCATTTTTTGCCTCGCTGCAGAATCCCTTTCTAATCAAAGAGCCCCAAAATTAGTTCGGTTATCATTCTGTTGTGGGCCACTTGCCTTCTTTATAATGAGCTAGATCCTGAGAGGCACTAAGCGTGAATAGGTCTAAGAGAGTTGTTGAACCGTGAAGGTCAAGGAATCTCTTTGCTTATTCAGGATTCACACCTTCTGATGAACGGATGAAGAGTTCTAAACAAGGAAACCAGCGCTTGTCTTGATTGACCATTAATAGCTGCATCCACATTCTAGTATGATGGCGATGTTCTGCGCCCGCAAAACCTAAAGATCAGCATGAAAACAACCAGAAGTCAGCGGAAAAAAAAAACCAGAAGTCAGCGGGCCTCCGATTGAAATATTGAGGGCCTGTAGAATCTTTGTTTTTTTATATAAATTTATTTAATGTATTTTCTAAATATAATTTTGTTCTCTCCAATCTCAAGCTCCATCCATATTGCACTATAGAGAAATGTTTCGGTATCGACACCATCACGCCAACATGTTATACAAAAAATATATTATTTATGATCTAAGGTTTTAAACCTCTTCAACACTTGACTTGCTAAAAAAAAAGAAATTAAATTGCTTAAAAAAAAACAAAAAGAAATAAAATTTACGAAAAAATGTTAATTATGACCGATATATAAGTGAAGCAACTAGCAAATTAAGTTCTTAGCCTTAAATGAAAAACAAGGAGAATATACTAAACGTAATAAAACCACCAGAACTGAATGTTAAACGCACTTGTCCTCATCCTAGACTACTAGTTGATGATCATCACGTAAATGAAAAGAATCAAAAGTGCCATTTACGTTAGTTAAAGCTGCCTATCCTAAAAACTCCAGCGATATAAAGTCAGGTTAAAATAGGAAAATGTCACAGGCTCCCTTTACTGATTAAGATTTGTGTTCTGCTATAAATTGTTAGTTACCTTCATAAAGCAATGAAAAATCCATTGAAAAAAGATTTTACTCTTAACATGACACAGTGGAGAAAAATGATTCATGTAGCCGACCCCACGTAGTGGGATAAAGGCATGATATTGTTGTTGTTGTAGTAGTAGTATAGAAGCTCTGGTATATTCTCAAAATGATAAATAGACAATTCTTCCAAATTTTATTCTAGGATGTTACACATGAGCTGCGACATTAAGTTGAGGAGTGCATAGGATGTAACTTACATTAATGTAATTGCAACAATTGAATGCGGGATGTCCGAATTTGTTGCATATTTGGCAAGTGAGCTGACTGGAACTTTGCTTGCTACCACTATTTTGCTGAGGTGACTGAGCGCTGTGGCAGATGGAGTTTGCAGAACCCCATCCCTGCAATTGAATCCACAATATGCTGCTATTACAGTGGGAAAATTGGTGAGTGTTCGCTCCTTAATGAACTGCATTTGCTAAGAAGCAGTAAATGGTAAAAGTAGAAGAATGGAAGAATCGAAATTCATTTTTGATAAACTTATTTATGTACAGTAATCTGAATATCTGGGCAAGATTGGGCTACAAGTTTGTTATTGGGAGAATATTCCTCTGTGTACTAATGGCCGTGATCCTTTGAGATGTTACTGTTGGACAGTTCTGATTGGAGGGCAGAGATAGTTGCTGCATAGATGATAATGATAGTTGGCAGAGTTAGTTAAGGTAATCGTTAAAATTAAGTCGGTGGATGGTTAAAGGAAAAATATCAGAACTCGGACAACATTTGATTTCCAACACGAGAGGTAGAATGGAATCAGTGCATATGCCTTCTGAAGTTCTATTGAGCCAAAATGGAATAAATAACAATCGCATGGGTGGAAGACAGACTGAATAGCTCAAATCCTGAATTAAAAAAATAATGATGTTTCTTAATCAAAGACAGCTATTAGATACTGAAAATCCCAATCCAATTGAGAGATTGGCAAAGACAACTTCTTCATGCCAAATAGAAAAGGTTGCTGTAATATAAAAAATCTTTAAGAGTTTCTTCAAAAGGAGGTGGAGTAGAGTTCTCTATTCAGATAGAATAAAATAAGAACATACCAATAGTGTAGCTGGGTTAAGACATAAAAATCTACTCTTATAAAACATTTCAAGTTTGTATGGTTTTTAATAAGAGCATAGATGCTGCAACTTTGTGATTCAAATTTGCTGCCTAGCACTTTCTCTACCTAGAACCCTTTTTATGCTACCTACCATTAATATTTTAGTCGCCTAACATAACTGCTACATATCACCAAAACCATTTGATTGCTTCAAAGGCTTGATTCTAAATGATTTTCATGTTCCGTATTTTTTCACCTTTTTTTTTTGACATTTGAAGGTTAGATTGAAGTGAAACAAAACAGATTTACATTGAGTTGCACTTTTAAGCTCACTTTGGAGTAAAATAAATTTGTGTTACTAATGCTACGTTATACACTCCAAAATAAATTTTTGATGCAGAAAATGTTTCTCAAATAATGGGGATCCGTATGATGAGACCAAAGGAAACGGACATTTACGATTAATGAAGCCTCCATATAACTGTCGTTGCTGTTAAACATACCATCTTTCCACTATACCTGATGGCATCAGTTTCACTCAAAAAATTTTACTCCCCATTAGTCATTCCACATTACTAAAAATAATGAAATACTGAGGTTACTCAAATAGGCAAATCTAACATTTTACTTCAGTTACATATGGAAATAGTTGAATGCCCTTGGGCTTGCATTCATTATTACATTAATTTACTGATTATGTTTTCAGCACTGCAATTCCTAACAACCATATAGAAATGCAGGAATGCATATTAAAAAGTACATAATAAATCTTCCTCAAGATTCTCGTTTTCATCCTCTGTCACTTCCCCCTCATCCCAAACTGTGATACCAATCAATTATGAGTTCGTTGGATTTCAATTAATAATGTAGATATTTTCCACATCTTAGCTTTCTATTGTCATCAATTAGACAAACCCTCCTATGACCTATGTCCCGTCATCACAATCCTTAAGACCATCATTCGCTCCTGAAATTATTACATGCAGTCACTAGACACTGTCCAGAGGCGAATGAGGAAGTGTCACATCACTATTTGTTGTGTACCGGAGTGACGTGACGCATCCTAATTCTCCTCGTCACCGCCCGGTGACCCCACGTTATAATTTCTCCCTTCGCTCTGAGTAACTAGGTATGCCTTTCTTCCTAAGCTAATTTATCGTACTAAGAAAAGAAAAAAAGTCCTGCCAAACAGAATTTTAAGATTTTAAAACCTAATATTTTGATAAATTTCATTTCAGCACTGGTGATGATTAAATCCAAAATTTATTAAATCCTGCCATTCACGATACTTAACAGATTTAAGGATTTCTTCCTGGAATAATAGCCAAACAATTTACCAGTATTTAGCAAGATTTAACAGTTTTTAGGCCAAACAATTTTTGGGTTTGTCCCCTCAAGATTCATCAAATCTGGATTTACAGAATTTTCTACGACCTACTTGAGTTAAATCCTGCTTGTAGCCATATAACCCTTTAAAAACAGCGCTGCATTACACATTACTTGGGGTCTCAGCCTCTTACAATGATGCCAATAGATATCCAAAATGGATTGCACAATTACAAGCCCGTTCTTCCAAGCTTTACTTACCAAACTTCAATAATCAACTCAGAACCATTATCATCTAGATAAGCCTTGCTTTCACCGAACCAAATATCACCCAGAAAACCAGTAAGCTGCGGTTTCTATCCAGCTAGATCATCTCAATTCACCCAAGAGGATCCAGAAATCCATGTTTACAAAAATATAGCAGACAGTATAAAACATCTTCATCAATTCGTACATTAATAAGAAAATAAATACAGAATCCAAGATCTTACAGAGCAGCTGTTTTGACTGTTTAGAAAGCAATAAGATAAAAAAGGAGGTTACAGATTAGAAAACGGATGATCCAACCAAGACGATCGATTGTAAAAAAACATTTCAGCAAATAAATCTATCAGTGCATAATCTGAAACAATAGAACTTCTCGTTATTACTGAATCAGTTCCCTCATGGAACAAAAATAAAAAGAGGGGTCGTTAAGGAAAAAAAAAAAACGTTTGTACTCAACTAGATTGTGATTTCCAACAAAATTTAGATTGTCAACGGAATGATATAAATAAAATCGAAATCGTACCATACAGCGGCGTTAAAGATCTCGCGCTAGGCTTCTGAGCTGCTCGATTATTAGTTCCCACTTTGGCACCTATCAGATCTAAATCAGCGAGTGGTAGAGAATAGGACACAGAATCCACACATTTTCAATAAAAAGTTACATTAAGGGGCTGTTTGGTATGCGGATTTAGGCGGATTTAAGGCCGGATTTGGGCGAAATCCAGCCAAACGGCTTTGGCTCAACAAGCAACCATCAGCCGAATCAAAAGATCTCTAATTTTAATACTTAGTTCTCGAGAAATTAAAGAAGCTCCATTCATTAATGAAACTAACAAAAACACGGAGCTGTGAAAAAATGCTATCTAATGCTTTAATAAATGCTTAGAATTATAAAATAGAGTAAAACAAAGAATTCATAAATACTACAACAACAACAACAACATCAAGCCTTTATCCCACTACGTGGGGTCGCAAAGGACTCATACATAATTGCGAATAAAACTTTTTTTTTGTTTTGGGACATTTAGACCATTTAAGGCAAACTCACACACACAACGCATACACATAGACTCGAACCCTGAACCTCTTAGTTGGAAGCCTAAGCTCTCAACCAATAGGCCAAGGAGAGTTGTGTATGAATAAAACTTTTTAAATATTATTAATAAAAATTTAGTACATATTTGAGTTACATATTTATAAGAAAAAAAATGGATACAAAGTTTAAAGACAACATTCATACACTAATAAAAGAAAGTTATATATACATATATATATATATGTAATAGTCAAATATGGTTTCAAAACATTTTAAAAAAAAATTTGCTCAAATAAAAAAATACTCTCTTATAGTCAAGGACTTTTCGATAGAGTTAAAATTGATATCAATTTGAAGTTTGGTGAGGGTAGTGAGATCAAATGTATAGTGTTTCTTCGTTGATGATAGTGATTAGTGGGTATGAAGAATGATGGCAATGTGCATGAATTTGCGAGCACTGATTATTAGAACCTATCCCTTGCTGACACGTGTACTAGTAGTTGTTCTTCTTGTTTTAACATTCTTTATTTATATCCTGTAATCACTGTTAACATGGAATATACATAATCACTTATTTCCTCTGTTTCGGTTCTTTCCTCTCTGTTCTTCTCCGGCTCAGGGTCTTTCATGGTATCAGAGCCATGGCAGATCAAGAAGACTCTGTGGCTTCTCCACCATCCGTCTCCATCATCTCCGAAACTCCCATAGAGCTCACCATCCATGCTAATCTCAAGTTTCTCATCTCTAATCTCAAAAATCTAGTTCTCATACAACTCTTGTCCGACACTTACCCAATCTGGCATCTACATCTTCTTCAACACTTCTCAGCAAATGGGTTCTCTGACCACCTAACCGGAGAAACACCATGTCCAGCAAATTCAACAAGCTCCGCCCACCGATCATGGGTTCTTGTCGACAGAAACCTCATTTTAGCACTCTTTTCTACAATCTCCCCTTCAATCCTTCCTTACGTTATTTCCTCCACCACCACCAATGAAGTCTGGACCATTCTTGAACTGCGACTTCAACCTTCGAATCGCTCTCGTGTAATTAAACTAAAACACGAATTACACATCATCCAAATGAAATACTCCACTATGCAACAGTACCTAACCCAAATCAAGAATATCGACGACAACATTGATGCTTCCGGTTCCAAGATCGACTCCGAAGATATCATCATCTACATCTTGAATGGACTTCCCGCACTTCCCGCATCTTACAATCCATTCAAATCTTCTATATGAACGTCCCTCGCTCCAATTGACCTCGATACTCTGTAGTCCCTTCTTTGTAGTGAGCAAAATTAACCTCCAAAATGAACACCAGAAATCCACCTCTTCCCCCTCCGACACCACTGTTCTTTACACCAATCGGGCCTCCAACTATCGCGGTCGCAACTCCAACCACTCCACTTTAACCCAGAATCAACAGTCATGGCCACCTCTTTACAATAATACCCCTCCGCGGATGACCTCTGCTTCGGACCGCCAAACATGCCAAATTTGCGGTAAGAATGGACATATTGCATTAAATTGTTGGCACCACTGCAACTTTAAGTTCGCTCCCACCGTTCCTTGGCCTCCTCGTGCCATGTTGTCTCAAAACAACTAGGCCAACAACTCCAACTGGGTTCTTGATTATGGAGCGTCCTCGCACCTCACACTCGACCTAAGCAACTTATATCAGCCATCCACCTTTCAAGGCTCCGACTTGATTTCCATCACCAATGGATCTAGTCTTCCCATTCACAACACCGGCAGTAGCATTCTCCCCCTACCGGACTCAACTCGTAAGTTGCATCTCAAAAATCTTCTCCATGCTCCTCACCTCTCACACAATCTTGTTTCGATTTCCAAACTAACTAGTGATAACAACATTCTCGTCTATTTTGACTATAATGGCTTCGTTATTAAGGATCGTCAGGACCTTCAAACTCTTCATCATGGTCATCTCCATAATGGGCTATATCAAATCCACACTCCTATCGACCGGACTCTGACCGCTCTTCAAGCAAACCTCTCCTCCACTCAACTCTGACACGCTCCTCTTGGACATCCCAACCACCGACTTCTTTCAGACTTAATCAAAACTATTTCAGATTTATGTAATTTTAATTCTGCATTCGTTTGTAATTCTTGTAACATTGCAAAGAGTCACAATAAATATTTTAATAAAAGTCTGTCTACTTCTACTACTTCTTTTGCTCTCCTACATTCGGACGTTTGGGGCCCTTCCCCAATCTCTTCACTAAACGGCTACAAGTACTACGTAATCTTCATAGACAACTTCACCCGGTTCTCTTGGATCTACCCAATGCACTCAAAAGATGAAACATTCTCTAAATTCAAACACCTTCACTTCCTCATTCAAAACAAATGTAATATTAAACTGCATACCTTTCGATCTGACGGGGGCAACAAGTTCATAAACACCACCTTCAAGAACTATCTCAACGATCACTGTATCACTCACCAAGTAAGTTGTCCCCACACTCCCAAGTAAAACAACACCTCTGAACGCAAACACCAGCATCTGCTCTATTTAACAAGGACGTTTGTAACAGCAGTTTTGTTCATATCGTCCGGGCCGATCGTGGATCGTCCCGGGACGATTAGTTCAAATGTTGTTCCAGATTTTGTACATAAGTTACAGAAAAGTTTTCCTGTAAGGATCGTCCGGGCCGATCTGGGATCGTCCGGGCCGATCTGGGATCGTCCGGGCCGATCTGGGATCGTCCGGGCCGATCTGGGATCGTCCCGGGACGATCAGAGCATGGCACAAGTCAGAGAATGGGGGTTTTTATCGTCCAAGAAAATTAATTATCGTCCTGAGAAATCGTCCCAGGCCGATGGGATTTTGTTCAGATCGTCCAGGACGATCGTGCGATTGGCCGGGCCGATCAGAAGGTTATTTAGCTGAAATCAGCTCATTTTGAAGAGAAAGAAAAATTATAAAAATAAAACTATCTTTTTTGAGGAGAGAGAAGGTCGAGGAGAAAAGTGAAGAAGTTGATTTTTGGGCAACGCCGGGCCGTTTTCGTCCGTCGAGACAGTTCAAGAAATTGGTGTACGCAAGGTAAGGCATATTCCGCCTTTCTCAATTTTCAGAACGGTGAAGTTTGAACGAGTTTTCTGTCCGGATTTCGTTTTCGTTAGCGAATTTTGTCCGTATTTTCCGACGAATCCGGATCACGATCCGATGCGAGCGGGATCCGTCCCGATCGGGTTGGGTCGTGACAACGTTGATCCACACCGCAAATCTACGACTTCCATTTTGGGCCAAAGTTCTCACAATGGCCAACAACTTAATCAACAGGTTGCCATCCAAAACTATTCAATCTCTCAGCCCCTACTACAAACTTCATAACACTTCTCCAAACTATCAATATCTTTGTACCTTTGGCTGCCTGTGTTATCCTTGGCTAAAGCCTTGTACTCCCAACAAGCTTACGCCGCAGTCACAGGCCTATATTTTCTTTGGATACTCATCTCTTCATAAGGGATATCACTGCTACAACACTACCAGTAATAAAATTTACATCTTTCGGCACGTCGTGTTCTACGAACACATCTATCCCTTCAAGAGTACCACCACACCTACAGCCAACCTTCACCCAATACTTATTCTTCACCTCTAATTCTCACACCTGCCTCGGTACACAATCTTACTCTACCTTCCCAATCTCCTCGTTTCATCCCACCATCCACAACTCAATCAACTACCTCTCATCCTGACCTTTCCAGTCACTTCCCCAATCAGTCTCCCGCTCAATCCATTCACAGTCCGCCTCGGATCACCACTAATCCCTCTCATCCTATGCAAACCATGCTCAAATATGGTATCACCAAGCCAAAAACTATCTTCAACCTCTCTGCTATCACCTCGCAATCCGACACGCCCACCTCCTACAATCAAGAAAACCTTCATCAACACTGGCGGAATGGCTGGCAGAATGCCATTTCTAATGAATTTCTGGCCCTACAGCGTCAGGGAACGTGGTCCCTTGTCTTACCACCTCCAAACAAACTGATCATAGGCTGCAAGTGGACATACAAAATCAAACGACTACCCAACAGTCAGGTTGATCGCTACAAAGCAAGACTCGTCGCACAGGGGTTCACTCAATAATACGATATCAACTACACAGAGACGTTTAGTCCAGTCGCCAAGATGGCCACCATCCACATCCTACTCGTCATCGATCTCAACGGCAAATGGGAAATCTCTCAGTTCGATATCTCCAACGCCTTTCTTCACGGCGACCTCCCCGACGACGTTTATATGAAACAACTACCGGGCTTCTCCGATCAACAACATCCAGACTTCGTCTGCAAGCTTCATAAGTCACTCTATGGCCTCAAACAAGCACCGCAACTTTGGTTCCAGAAACTAACCTCCTTCCTTCAACAATTCGGCTTCTGGTTTAGTCGTTCCGATCCTTCTCTTATGATTTATCATCGTAATAATATTCAATTATATCTTCTGATTTACGTCGATGACATACTACTTACAGGTAACGATCCACACACCATACAAGCTCTGCTGCATCATCTCTAATCTCACTTCCAACTCAAGCAACTCAGTAACATCTCTCTGTTTCTGGGGATACAAGTTCAACATACAAAATCAGGACTCTTTCTCTCCCAAGAGCACTACGCCTCCAACCTGATCAAGAACGCAGGCTTCACCAACTGCAAGCCTGCTCCAACGCCAATTACACCACCCTCCGCATCCAAATCCGCCTCCAACCAACCATTCTCTAACCCACAGCTCTACTGCCGACTAGCCGGTTCTCTACAATATTTGTGAATTACCCGCCCCGACATCGCATTTGCAACGAACCACATCTGTCAATTAATGCATTCACCATCTACACAGAACTTCCAAATGCTCAAACGCCTCATCCGATACATCAAAGGAACATTACAATACGGTCTTCCACTTCAACACAGCTCCTTGCAACTACAATCTTATTCCGAAGTTGACTGAGTCGCCGATCCGACGGACAAAAAATTCGTTTCAGGCTACTACACTTTTTTGGGTTCTAACATCATATTGTGGTCCGTCAAGAAACAACCCACGGTGGCCAAGTTATCCACCGAAGCTGAATGTCGATCGCTGGCTTCTGCTACCTCCGACGTCCTCTGGCTTCGACGTCTACTTGAAGAATTTTAGATTCTGCAAACACCACCTACCCTGATTCACTGCGATAACATCTCCGCCATCGCTCTCGCCAACAATCCTGTCTTCCATTCACGGACGAAGCACATCGAGATCGACTTCCACTTCATCCGGCATCACATCGACTCCGGCACAATCGCCATCTCTCATGTCAGCTCCGCAGACCAGCTCGCCGACATTTTAACAAAACCTCTTCATGTATCTAGATGTCACGACCTCCGACGCAAATTGACCATTCAACCCTTGAATGATCAATTTGAGGGGGCATATTAGAACCTATCCCTTGCTGACACGTGTGTTGACCTCGTTTTTGTCTTGATTTGCCCTCGAGCACGTTCGATCGAGTTGAGCGAGCCTCATCGAGCTCGAGTCAATTTGAATCAGCGTTGATTTGAGATTTTTTTTATTAAATTGATTTGGTCGTGTCAAGTCGAGCCTAAGCTAGCATGGATTGAGCCGAATTAGATCTGATTTGAACTTCATCACAGCCAAATAAGTTCTATCTAATTCTAATTAAAGATTAATTGACTTTTTAAAGCAATTTGAATTTGATTCCTATATCAAGAAATTAGATGGAGGGCCACGATTTGGCTAATACCCGAAACCTGTGCGTGATATCCCCGCTTTGGAAAGAACTGCAGTGATTTTCTTTAGGAAGCAGAGAAAAAAGAGCTCAATCGGTGTGCCTGAAAGGAGCGGGAGAAGGTTTCTCGAGGGGCAGAATCAAGAAAGCCCAGGCCCTCTACTCTCCCTCTCTGTCGGTTCGCAGAAGGCCAGAAGAAGGGAAATCCCTGGGGACTCTCGGCTCTCTCTCTCGCTCAGTTCGTATGGGAGCTCCAGGCGGAAACCCCCTCTCCTCTCCGTCTCCCTTTGTTCGGACTAGACCCGACGCCCTAAACTCCCCTCCGTTCGCACGCTAGGAAGCCGAGCCCCTGCTCCCGTCGCTCTTCGCATGCAAGAACTGTACTTGGCTCTCTTCCGACTTGCCCTAACTGTCGGCCTCCTTTTGCAAGCAGGTAAATTTTTCTTCTTCTTATTCCTCTTCTTATTCTTCTTCATTGTCTCCTTATTCTTCTTCTTTCTTTCGTTCTTCTCCCTCTTTATCTTCCTCTCATTCTTCATTCACATTCTACTTCCTCTCCTTCCCAATGCTTCTACTTCCGCTCCTTTTACTTCTTAACTAATTATCCGTGACAAGCATAAAATGATTACCCTTTTATTCTCTTTGAAGTGGAAATCAGTTATTTTTGGATAAAGGTTTTGTGAGATGAGTTCAAAAAAAAAAAAGAACCTTTGCTGCACATGGCTCTCTTAGTTTTCTTTGCTGTTTCTCGTTCAAATTCAATTTAAAGTTTGAAGTATTGTATATATTGACATAGAAATTTATTGTGCATGTTCATCATATGCTTTCATGAAGTTTGGAAGTGTCCGGCGTGCTAGTTGTTCGATGAAATGCCTTAGTAAAATAATATGATGATCAATGATTTCTCTTGTGCTGAAGTTTTATGTGCAGTGAACGGTTTTATGAGATGTGAATTAAGGTCGTATTGACTCGTGTCGTTTAAAAAAAAAAAGATAGTGAACGCTTAGTATGTGGGGTCACCATTTATTTATTACTCAAAGCTTTAGGTATGAGTTCTAAAGGATTCTGAGAAGCTATATCATTCCTTGCTAAAAGAAATGCATGCCGAGTGCTGTAATAATATTTAAAAAAAAATGTTATAAGCTTTAACCAAGCAAAGGTATTGAGTAGGCAAGTTTATACCTCACTTCTTTTATATCCTTAATGAGCCCATAAGCTTTGATTGTATACAGGATTTGCATATTTGTATGTGATACAAGTGATCGTTATGTTTTGGACCCTCCATTATATATGGGAGATATGTTCCTCTTTATCTTTTTCTAAAAAAAATAATAAAAAATAAATAAATATACTTAAGTCCTCTTGAAAAAAAAAAAAATCTGAAACCTATATGAACCTCCTCTTTATTTATTCATTTATTTATGTTTGGAAGACATGTCACGTGATTATTAATACCATATTCTCATCGAGTGATTACCTCGATTTATTTCTTTTAATTTATTAGTTCTTGTTTTTTTATGATCATATTTGTTTCTCAAACGCTATATGGAGGCATGATTATTTGGTGAATGGGAAATTATACTGCTAGTGCCCCTTTGAATTTTGAAAAGGGTTGTTACTTATTTCATTCAATCTTGTATAGACGGACAAGTCGAGATATGATTTCTTTTTGTAGAGGTGAACCAAAAAAAAAAATGATTTGCATGCTCTCTTGCAGTGGTTTGAAAGAGAAGTTGTTGGTGCTTTTGGAATTACATTAGCTTTATAATTTGTGTTGAAGGATTGTTTATATTTTGTTGTATACTACATTTACATATGAGAAAATTTCAATAACCCTTCCACACATTGGTAGCATGAGTTGTTATATAATTTGGGAAGGAGAAGTGATGACTATTCGTAAGTCTTTCATAAAGTATCTTTAGAGAAATGTTGGAGAGCGTTGTGTTTATTCATACACCTTTGGCGAGCATGCATAAGTTTAGATGTGTTGGAGAATATTCATGATCTTCAAATATGAGTTTTGCATAGCTCTAAGCGTAGTTTTGCTCTATGTTGGTTGGAGTATCTCCTTGAATTTCGAAAAGAGATGGAATAGCATTGAGTTACATTTCTCTTCCAATTTCACTTGGGGGATAGCGATAGGTTGAAATATAAACATTTTCTAAGTTCATCTTTACTTATTGGAGCCTTATATGAAAAGCATGCGGGCAATTACAAGAGGATACCTCTTTTGTTGAATTTTGAGAGAACAAATTTGTATCAAAACTTCTTTCTCATAATTGCATTTTGGTTGAGGTCTAATCTCAAATAAGTGGTTTGCTTACTACTTGATTCAGAAAGCCATTCATTGGGTTTATGTTTCATATGAAAGTTGTATGTATGGATTTAATGTAATGATGCTATAAAACTTTATCTTTTGCCGAGTTTCGTAAGTGTTTTTTGGGAGAAAAATTGAAAAATAGTTGTAAAACCTATTGAATACATTTGTGACCTATTGGAATGAAAATGAAGGTGAAATGATGTTTTATATGGTGGTTGGAAAGATGTTGTGACTTATTTCATGTTGGAGAATCATGCTTCTTGTATTTCATCCTGTTAGAAGGCTTTATGGTTTGTTTTGTAATTAGAGAATTTTAAGATGTTATATTTATAAAAAAAAAAAGCTTTGCGAACGTTTTGCGATGAGAAGTTTTATGAAACTTTTCTTGTTAGAAAGTTTTAATGAATTTACCCCACGCCAAATAAATAAAAGGCACTTGATTATTTTTGTTGGAAAGAGTTTTGGGTAGATTGTTTATATAGAGTTTCATGTGTCGCTTTATTTGAAATTTTTCATAAGTCATTTTGGGATTTCTAGTTTTATGATTAGCTTTGTGTAGCAAATTCTCTTTATGTCTTTTTGGAACGAAATGACACTTAGTGTGTGGATTCCTTTCTCTTTTTCGTATTTTCTTCCAAAGTTGAGTTTTGAATAAATGTGGAAAAAGAAGACTTATTCTGAGTTTTAGTTTTTGGGAGCTTATTCACTTTCGCCGTTTTGAGTTTTATTTAAAAAATAGTTTGGGTAGTTGAGTCGATTTTTTCTCGAGTGCTTTGTTTGGGACGAGGGGACAATAAATGGCATCAAAACATATTCTTTCCTATTCATATTACATTGAATTGGAGTGAAGAGCGTTTTAGATATATGTTTGACTTCGAAGAAGCACGTCCAATAACAAAATGTCTACATTCCATTTTTTAATTTGATTTATTTTCGTTCTTTTAGGCATTTTGTCATTTTTGCTATTTATTTCTCGCATTTATACTACTTTTCTACTCATTATCTTTTTTATTCATAGATCCCTAAACTTATTGGTATATGCATGAATGTCTAAAAGGGTTAGAAACACACTTTCGTTTTCGTCCCATAACTTTAGTGACACTTAAGGACAAAAATTAAGGACCGAGTCTTAGATAATATAGACTTAGGGTGCATGCTCCCGATAAGATATAGACATCAAAACAAAAACTTAGTGACACGTTTTCCTAGGTTTAACGTGCTTTAATTTACTAATAATCAACAAACCAAATTAACATTAATCCAATTCTTAAAAAATGTATTAAAAGACCTAATTTTAAATTAAATTATAATTAATGTGTATAACTACTAAACTGTGGAACCCAAATCAAATTTAGCCAATCTCTTAATTAACCTCCTAACAAACTTAAAGCTTAAAGGATGTAGCCTAAATTAGGAGAGTGAACCTAAACTAAAATTCATTAAGATAAAAGACTTCTAAAATCTAAAACTCAACTAAATCTTAAGTTAATCTTTAAAACTTATTAACAAACCCCTTAATACATAACAATCACTCAAAAAATGAAGTTTATTGGATGGACTACTTCAGGCTGTATGGCTAAGTGTCCTAATGAGGTCTGGTTCCTCGAGCCTGGTGGCACAATACCACGAATTGATTTAATGGAGTGTTAAATTATAAAATTAATTGATTATTAATGATTTAAACCAAATAAAATTCTTAATATAACTATATCAACTTGGTTTTTAGGATGAATTACTCCGGGCTGCGGCGCTAAGGGCTAAGTGTCCTAAGGAGGTCTGGTTCCTCGAACCTGGTGGCACAACACCACGAATTGATTTAATGGAGTGTTAAATTATAAAATTAATTGATTATATAACCTCAAATAGGTCATATGTCATTAGGGAATTCTCTTGGTGGATTATCTCGATCTCTTTCATATAGATTAATGTCATCGAGCAGAGCTCTGATATATAACCTCAAATAGGTCATATGTTCTTGATGGATTCTCTCGATCTCTTCCATATATGTTAACATCATCGAGCAGGGCTCTGACATACATCCTCATATTGGTCATACATTCTTTGTGGATTCTCTCAACCTCTTCCATATAAATTAATATTATCGAGCAACGCTCTAACATACAACCTCATATATTCATATGTCATTGGAGAATTCTCTTGACCTCTTTCATATAAGTTAACGTTATCGATCATTGCTCTGACATACAACCTCGAATAGGTCATATATATTTGGCGGATTTTTTTAACCTATGCTCTACTGCCCGTCGATGGACTCTCATCAGACTTCTACACAATGCCATACTTTTACCCGTCACCGGACTTTTACTCATTGTCGGACTTATATTGGGCTTCTACCTGACATTGAATTTATACCCGTCTTCGGACTTCAACCTGTCGTCGGACTCTTATCAGATTTTTACCCGACGTTGAACATCTATCCTACATAAAATTTCTACCCGTTATTGGACTTCTGCTCATTGTCAGACTCTGGTCGAATTTTTACTCGACATTAAACATCTACCCATGCTGAATTTCTACCCATCATTGGACTTCTATCCGTCGCTAGTTTCTCGTCGAATTTTTACCCGACGTTGAATTTTTATCAGTCGTCGGACTATTGTTAATCACCGGACTTTCATTGAGCTTCTACCCGACACTGAATTTCTACCCGCCGTCAAACTTTTGTCCCTCGCCAGACTATGGTCTTTTGCGAAACTTTCAGTTAACATTTGTAATCTGGTCATCTTCAAGGATGAGTCAGACTATTGTACTTCGCTCAAATTCTAGTGGAATCATTCTCAACTGGGTTAGGCCCTGTGATTTTTTCCCTTTCCCGAGTTTTTCACTTAAAAAAAATTGTGTTATCTGTATGTGAGCTATATATCCGTGAAACTCTAAGACGTAGAATTATAATTCCATCACAGTGTATATTCTAGCCCGCAATAGTACTTATCCAAATTAAAGAGAATTAGAATTTTAATATTGGAAGGAGATATTGTAAAAATATAGAAAATTTTAATTACTTAAAAAAATGAAAGCACATAGAAAATACTATTTATTTTCAATATCTTTGAAATAATTTGATTCATTAAAAAGTTAATAATTAAACACAC